GAGAAATTCTACAGATAGGTCAGAATCCCTTCTTGGGGGGCAGGGGAAAAAAAAAAAAAAAAAGAGGGTGGGGGAGAGGGCCTTAATGTTGGTATCCTCTCTTCTGGATTGTAGGCATTGAGGTCCACACCGTTAGCAGTATATATTACTTAAAGCAAACCAACACAAGCAAAATTCCTTTTGAAACCACTGACTACGTGTCTTGATTTAAGGACCAATTCCACCTTTACTGTAATTGCACTTGGCTAAAGCAGGTCAGAATTCTTTCTCTGAGCCTTTTCCTCCCCCTCTGGAAATTACTATTTATCAGAACTTGCACTTTTTGCGGTAATCTGTTTCCCTTTCAGGGTATGAGGTTTCTGTGTGGCCCAGGATGGAATTTCTTCTCAAGAAAGAGATTAAACCTTTATCTCAGGTAGCCAACAGGCCATTGGTCAACAGCATTCAGTTGGTTGTGGTAGACTTGCATTCAAGTCCAAACTCTACCTTGTTCAGAGCAGGAACTAAAGCAGGGGCGGGCAATTATTTCGGGTGGGGTCACTTCCTGAGTTTTGGCAAGCCATCAAGGGCTGCATGACAGGCAGCCAGGGGCTGATAAATATGAATTTTCTAAACTTTTTAGGGGCCCTGCAGGCCAGATAGAATGGCCTGGTGAGCCACATATGGCCCACGGGCCACATTTTGCCCACCCCCAGGCTAGAACTTGATTCTCTTGCATTCCATAGGTGTGCCAGGACCACAAGGCTGGGGCATTTTCCCTCCTACCTTTTGGCTTCTCATGAAAATGTCTAAAAGTCTTTGCTTCACCACCATGTGAGATGGAAAAATAATTGAAATATTTAAACACTTCGCTAGTCAGGAAAACCATTTCTGCCCAGCGCTGACTTGAATTAAATAATTGCTGGGCATTTGATATGATTTTTGTTGCTTTCCGGATGACCCAATTTTATTTATTTTCTCTGGACAAAAGTTCCTTGGAATGAAATGCTAAAATGAGCATACCAAAAAATAAAACTTCAAAATGTGACTGAAGTTACAAGTTGGGAAAATAACACAATGCTAATGAAATTCCTCCTTTCTTATCTACACCATTCTGACCTAATTCTTCCACAAATGCCTATTATGATCTGTGACACGTTATCATGACCTGCTGCACAATGAAACATCCAGTATGTCCTAATGTTATGTATAGAATTTACTCAGCCACATGCCAGTTTCTTTGTTCATGTTTCCTCTCACTAGGATAAATTTAGATTCTAAAACACGCTTCTCTATTTACAAAATAAAGTGATTTGGATAACCTCTGCTTAAAAAAATATCTAGTGTTTGCCTTCTTTGTGGCAGGTTGTTTACCATTGTGTGTATCAAATCATATCAATTCCTAGTCTGACCTCATCAGCATCATGGTACTATTAATAGGAATCTCATGTGGCCAATCTAGTTTCCATTCTTGATTGATATCTTTATTTAATTTGGAAGCCTCTCTCAATATTCCTTTGGATACAAGAGTCAGAAATTAGGTTCTCTGATTAAGTAGGGGAGGGGAAAAAAGACATGGTGAAAAGAAAAGATCCATAGAGAGACAGAATGCTACAGATAACATAAAAAGGCACTAGCCGTATCTTTTTTTTCCCTTCGCTTAAGCATTGTGTGAATGAAGCTAGGAAACTCAGCCAAAATAACGTCTCTTGTTCTTTCTTTTATACCTCAATTGAGCCAAATGTTTGATTAAAATATTACAGTGAAGCCTCTTTCTCAATATTGCTAAATAAGCCACCACTATATCCTTTGCACTTGGGATAAGTTCCTGGATGATGCACCAGTTGAAAGAAGAGCAGATTTTGGCCCAGAAACTCCCAGGACTTTATTGTATGACTCTGACTAAGCAAATCAGAATGGTAATCGGCATAAGATGCTAGAGCTCTTTTTAATTCTTTAGCAGATACTTGATAATAAATGAAGAAGTAATTTAAAAAAATCACTTTTTGAAAACAATGGGGCAACTTGCCTGTGCATGCTTTGGCTCCATGGGAGTTGGAATCGGGAATGGACAAGTCCAGTGGAATTTGAGGTTTCATGAGCCTCTCCAACTCTTAGGGGTTTTTTTCATCTGTAAAACTGGTCTGAGTTCACTGGCTATTTTCTCCTGTAATTTAAGCCTGGCTTGTGGGTTTTTTTGTTTTGTTTTTTGGTTGGTTGTTTTTTCCCCAAAGGAGATTCAATTTAAAAAAAAACAAGCGCTTTTCTGCCCCTTAGCTAGAAAAAAAAATTATATTGTATACAAGTGATAAAAGAACAGCTTCCAAAACAAAGGCCATAACTAGGCTAAAGGTACTGTCTTCACATTTTCCTGTCTTCAGTAGCATATCAGGGGAGAGGGGGAGTGAGGCAGCTGCCCTTGGAGCCATTTTGGTGTTGGAATCGCCCCTGGGAGTCTTTGCTGTGCAGGTGCAGCCCCATGGCACCTAGCCAGACGAGAGAGGAGCAAAACAGGAGCCACCCCACAGGATTTTGGCTATGGCAGGTGCGACTCTTCTTCCTGTCCCCCTAGGTATGCTGCTTGGCAAAAACAGGGCACCAGGACCAGCCCCTAAGGAGCCAATGCTGTGGGGCTGCTACAATTGACATAGCGAAGACTTCTAGTGGAAAGGGGGTGGGGAGGGGGGCATTCTGGTGCCCCTCCTGCAACCAGTGTGCATCAAGTTTTCTCATTCACTGTAGTAGCCATTGTCTCCGCTACTGCGGAGAAAGATGGGGCAAGTAAAACTATCCTCCCCACTCTCCAATGGCCACCACTGCCAGAGCCCTGCAGGAGCACACTGTGCCTCTACCTGTCGATACTATCAATGTTCCTATTCTCTGTACCTAGTTCAGCCAGTTACTAAGGAGCCCAACTAAAGTAGAAAAAACTAGTCATATGCTGATAGCTAGGCATGTACACAAGTGTTTTAGTGAAACCGGGTCTTTCTGTTTCTTTATTGTTCTGCCTATTCGCTTCTCATTTTACACTTCCATAGCATTTCTCCCCCACCCCCTCATTTCTTATTCCTAATCAGGACAAATTGAATAATGTTCAGGACATGCCTTCAAATTCATGATACTTTACTGAGCTATGTATTTGAAGCAACTGTCAATTGCAACACATTTTGCCTAAGTGAGAGAAAACAAATGTGTCTGTGGTTAATCTTGGGTTGTTCAGGTCTAGAAGTGACCATTCAAACAACCATAGACTTGATCCCACAAGGTACTTCTTAGCCATTGACTTGAAGAATACTCATATTTAACAATAAGCACATGCTTAAGAGCTTTGCTGAATTAGGCTGAGAGTGTTCAGCAGGATTGGGTGGATTTCTCTCTTTTTTTTTTTTATAGTTTGGCCTGAACTTGTTCATCTCCTCCGGCGGGTATGGTTGGAATACCATTGCGTGGAGTGGAAAACAAGAATAGCGACACTATCCATACATGACAGACCTTGCAAGATACCCCCTGGGATCTTGTCTGTTGACTGTACATCTCATCTGACATAGAGAGAGATCTTTTTCCCATGCATGGGCTACTTAACCGATGTGTTGGAGAGCTGCCTTTATGTGGCAAGGGAAAAAGTGTTCAAAGATTCTTGATGCTGGGATGAAAATGGGGCCTGTAGAGTCCAAATATACTTTACTCCCTGATTTCCATATGCTTATAATGGGATACAGTAAGTGAGGAAAATTCTAAGCAGCTAATATGTGTGAACAGATTTCTTGCACCACCATGTGCAGTTTCTATTAATTAAGAATACTTTAAATCCACAGAACACCTCAAATAGGAAATGTTTGTACTTCAGGTAATAATGCTTTGTATTGTTTTTAGTAGCACCTCATAACATGTATGCAGAGCACATTATTTTTTTTTTATATAAGAAAGAAGATTTGTGAAAATCTCTTCTGATTTAAATGTCTACCATCAAGCTATAAATCGTATTAAAACTTATTTATTAACTCTTTACATATGTTTCTTATTGATTCTCTGAAGTAGTTGCATACTTCAATGTAAATGACACTTGCACCCTGCTCCTAACACACCACCCAGGTGCACACATGCACATCAGAGAGGGTGCAAACTTTACTTGCCTCTTGCCTCCCACCCCCGGCCCCGCTTTGTTTCCTCTATCATCAGTTTAACAACCAATGTAGCTGCTTACACTGGGTCTGGCCTGTTGTTTCCTACGCTATCTCAGTGTGACTGCTCTTAAGAATCTGCTTCCTAGAGTAAGGAGACCTAAAACTTTTATAAACTTCTGTGCCGTAACTGGGCTCCACCTGATGTGGCTCCCTGGGTGAATTAGAAATGATAGCCCTACCGAACTGTATAATGCTACAGAACTGACACCTACTATTGTACTAAATACATTTTGTACTCTTCATATGGTATCATCTGCCTTGCATAGGTTAGTCTACTCAACCTCTTTTTGTAATGCTAGAGTATCAGGGTACTTGTTGTTTATACTACCTCTTTATTCCTTAATTTGTATATGTTTTGATCCAGGATTCACTAGGTACAGAATAAATTAAACAAATTTAAACATGTAAACATAACCAGATATAACTGGGATAATCTGAGAGACTTTTTGAACGTGATGCCAAAGCAGTTGTCCGTTGGGGTCTGGGCTATATTTAGTCCTCTATATTCCTATAGCTAGTATGGCAATCAGCTGACTTATGTGACCCTATAGTTTCCAAGAAATACGATTTTACAGATATTAATTTACAGTTACTAATTTTAAAGCTACTTCACTCATACAGCAGCTTCCCACTTAAATACCAGATCATTTTGTTCTAATCCAAAGCCAACTGAAATCACTGAAAAGATTTATACTGTTTCCAAGCAAAACTGAAAACCTCTTGGTTTGTTTGTTTGCTTGTTTGTTTGTTTGTTTGTTTGTTTTATTTAGGTCCTGCTCCTGCAATCAAATGCAACTTTTGCAGAACCCTCCACCTATGTGAAATTCTCTCTCTGTATTTTTGGTGTGGGATATGTTAAAAGAATGCAAGGATCACAAAGCCAGCCCCTGCAGGAGTTAGATGTCAGACACAAGACCATCCTAGTGAATCAGAGAAGGATCCTGTTTCATAAAGCATACACACAAGGTAAGCAAATTCAAAGTTGCGCAGGTCTCCCTTGATTAGACATTGGCTAAGTGCGTGTGTGTGTGTGTGTGTGTGTGTGTGTGTGTGTGCGCGCGCGCGCGCAAGAGAGAGAGAGAGAGAGATAAAAAGTGTGATTACTGTATTTCTAACCTTGAACGACTCTTCTGAGTATGAAGTGTACTTTGGACCTACTTCCCTTTCCATTATCAGAACATTCTGAACTCAAAGCATGTTCTGCCCTGATTTAAAATCCTGTTTAACATGACAGACTATTGGTTAGGTTGGTGCAACTGAAGTCAGTGTGCAGCTTCCCAAAAAAATGTTTTCAGTGGTGTGTCCAAACCACCACCCAGTGTTAAATAATGCTACAAGTAATGAGGCAGAGCTGTTGTGTTTTTTTTTCCATGGAATTTACTTCTATTCTATTTCAGTGATGGTCACAAGCCTAAAGTTCAAGTTAAACATATCTCTGAGCTCATGTGCTCATGCAGAGTTTGTGTGAGGGTGAGAATGGGTATGAGAGAGGCTATATGCAGTCTTTCATCACCCCAGCCTCAAAAGTCTGAGTGTTTTTTATAGGTTCAAAAAACAAAATGGGCCCATTTTGCCTCCTTGATGCATTCCAGTTTATTTAACAACTCTGTGGGGCTTTGACAGGGGCATTGTTGAACAGATGGAGAACTCATGGCTTGGGTGACTTGAGTAGGCTAAGAAATGCCTCCTTTTCACCTTATAGACTTGCACATCAGTTCAGGTATCAGAGAAGCTGACAAAACATCTTCAAGAGTGAAGTATGCAGCAAATGACTGCCCTGTAGTGAAAGCCAGGTAGGACATACAGTAACAACTTTGGACAGGAGCTGATGGAGAACTGCCCTTCTCTCTCCACCTCACAGCTGATAAATTACCAAAACTAATCGTTGCCTTGACAGGCCTTTGATCTCTGGAACAGCCAATTTATAAATGATGAGTTCCCTTACATGCTACTCTTGATAGAGCTGTTTGAAGGAGTTTTAAAATCAATAAGCTCTACACAACAGAGAGCCTTTAGTTTATTCCCATTTATTGCAGGCATTGTGAACTATCCTTGAAAGTGCTTATTGAAGGGTATAAGTCAGGTAGCCATACAGAAATCAAGTTTGATAAGAGAAGAGATGGAGCTGAAAGATTAATACAAAATAGGAAACTCTGTGCTTTCATTGGCTCTCCCTCCCACCCCTCCAAACCAGGCCCTAAACTGAACAAAAGTTATGGATGCTGTCTCCAGAGAGAAAGTGTGGTTCAGTATTTAAAATGGAGAATGAGAAGAGAAAGTTGTAGATTCTGTAGACAGCTCAGCTACTGACCTGGCAACATGGCCTGGGGCAGCTCAGCCCCTTGATGCGTGCAGATGGTTTATCTGCCTATAGGAGTAGGTATAACAACAACCAAAATTGCAGTACATCCTTTATCTAAGTATGCAGAAATGCTCCACAAATGTGAATGGCCACTGTCTGTAGGACAAACAGGTGGCATTCCACTGGTGTGAATGGCTGAATAGTATGGCAAACTTGGTTCTAGCCCCTTCTTTCCAGAATGTGAAATCCTGGGGAAGCTTTCAGGGGGAAGGGAAGAAATTTTCCTTCTAGGCCAGAGGTGGCCACCCTGCAGCGCAAGTGCTACAAGTGGCACAGGGAACCTCTCTGCATGGTACATGACCGATCATGGAGGGGACAGGTGGCACAGGGCAGGAAGCAGCAGGAGATCAATAGAGGAGGGAGATTGGAGTGGCACTTGGAGCAGGTGTGAGGCTAATTTGTGACACATGGGAAAAAGGTTGGCCCTGACTGCTCTAGGCCATAAAGCAGTGTCAGTGTCATTCTGCAGCCACAGTTGTACTACTTAGACAGCTGTATTTATGATGGCCATAATACACTTTCTACTGGAAGGAGGACAAGAAGACCTAGTGCTGTCTACACTAACTGTCCATAAGAACTGACAGAGTCGGGCAGTAGGTTGCTAATTCTACCATAACATGCTTCTTTATGGATGTTTTCAGGTAATGATGGTTAGGGTTAAGCGTCTGTCTTGGAGTGATAGATACCTATTGCCCCCATTACCCCTTGTTTGAAAATATACCTATATGCTCTAACTAAAATGTGATACTTTAAAAATAAAGGATCAGTTGTTCAGGTTGGTAAAAACCAGCAACAGAAGCAGAAGTTTAAATAGATTCTGGTAATGTGGAAGAGAAAGTCAGCATGTCTGAATGAGGGAGAAATCTAGCATGCCCAAGAAGAGGAAAAATAATTTGAATTCCATGGAAAACTCCTTGCTTAAATTCCTTGTATTCCTGAAACACCTCACTGCCTGGATAAAATTTCCCATTGATACGATTCCTCCCCTTGCTCTCTCCCCCTGTTCCCAGTAACAGTTGGCAAATGAGCTGGTGTGGAACTTTATTATGACCCAGAAAGCACAAGACCAAGCCAGCTGAGACTCTTTGCCTTGGGCACTGAGAAGCAAAACAAGCAAAAGAGCGTTTTAGCAAATTAGTGAAATGACACACACACATGGTGGGTTGACAAGTTCTAGACCGGATCCTGCCAAACTTTGCTTGCTGTTTTCTGCCTTATTCAAGGAAACAGCTCCCTTGAATTTCTAGGGATCACTTTGGAGTAATTTTCTTCTTTCTCTTTTTACTTGTAGGGGGCAGGGAATCGAGTTTGAAAGATTAGACTCTGTGTTGTTCGCTCTTGACTGTTTTTGAATGTTGATCTTGGATACAATATTGGAGAGGGGAAAACTTGAAGCTAATATTAACCACTGTCAACCTTATTCACAGTTGGAGACTTTATCTTGGTGCGTATTTGCACGCAATCTTGGCTTTAAGTACAATCACTTTTCCTGTCTCTTTTTATTAATCCACTGAGAGTGCTCATTTAAAAATGTAGCAATACAGTGAAAGTGTATTCATGAGGGTGGAACAATAGGAGGTGCTGACTGCTTCATTTGCTATCATCTTTGGAGAGCTCATGGATCAATTCAGGAAATGTGTAATGTTGTCAATACTGTTGAAGTGGTGCTGTTTAAAGAAAGCTAAACTCACACAGGATCCCATCTCCACAGCCATTCAAAGAGCTACATTATCTTCAAGAGCTGTTGTGTATTTAATACAAACTAGTATGGGATAATTGAGGGATCACTTTGAATAAACCATTGTTGCCATGTTGTCATCTATTAATCAATTGAATAACCCAGATATACAAATCCCATGTATCCACTTTCTTCAAGCACACCAATTTTGGCATGCTCAACAGATACAAAACTAACAGATGATCTAGACACCTCTATCGGGCATTATATGATGCAAGGGCTAATTTAACAATAACTGTCTAGATCTGTAATGTGCATTGCATTATGTACATTTCACAGAGAAACAGCAGCTTAATAGTGACAGGCACTGCTATTACTTAGACACACACACATATCCATTCCCCATAATCAGTAGGGCCATCTGAAGCTTTGGTCAGAGATTCAGCCTGATTTCAGTGGCTGAATCTCCAAATCAAATCAGGAGACTCTTTAATCTCTCCAAATCAAATCGGAACCCTCTGAATTGATTTGGGGAAATTTCAGCAATTCAAACATAGACACAGCTTTATGTGTTTGGGGTTTTTTTCTACATACCTCAAGGTACCACGCGGCTTGTGAATGCTACTCTGCTGGGATGGATGGAGCATCTCACAGGAGCGCCCAGGTGGGTGGGAGGTGGTTCACGGCATGCTTGGCAGCACACCTGGCAGTGGGCCAGAAGCACTTCTGGTCCTCTGCCAGGGAGTGTGCAGGCCCCCCCCCATGTCCCCATGGTTCGGCAATTGGTGCATCCTGGGTCTGGGGGAGCACCTGGGGTCCCCCTGTAGCCAATTACTGAGTGGGGGGGGGGGTCAGCAAGCTCCCTGGCAGACCCAGAAGTGGACCAGAAGTACTTCCAGTCCACTTACGCATTCACTGCCAAACATACAGGGCCCCCTCCCCCGCGCTCCTGTGGGACGTCCCATCCACCCCAGCATCGCAGCAATCACAAGCTGTGCCTAGTACCTTGAGGTATGTAGAAAAAACATTTAAAGCTGTATGTATTGCCAAATTGCTGATTCTCCAAATCGGCATCCAATCTTCAAATTCGGATTCGGCTGAATCAAATTGGGGGCAGTAATACGAATCGAATCTCTGTCCCAGATTTGGGCCAAATCTGAATTGAATAGGGCCCGTTTCGTACACCCCTAATAATTGGGTACATCTCTGGGAGCCTGATTTTCCACAGTCTTGCTATTTTTGGAGGGTCTTTGGTAATTATTAACCTGGGTGAAATGCAAGTGACCAATAATGCAGTCTTTATTCAGTGCATCAGTCATTTTCACTAAAGACACAGGCCCAGGTGGTATAAATTACTGTATTTACTCAAATATAAGATAACCCCCCTCAGTAATTGGAACCTATATGTAAAAAATTAATAACTTTGTTTATAATTTTCCAGGTATAGAATCTAATTATTGGAGGTTTGCCTTGAATTTGTCCCCCTCCCACTGCTACAGCAGGGAATTTAAATCTAGGGGGCTGAGTGGCCTCCTTGCCCTCTGCCCCAACCCCCTGAACTTCTTCCCCTTCTTCTCCCCCTACTTTACTATCAGACTCCACTCTCCCTGAGCACATGCAAGTAAAGAACAAATTTGAAAACACTGACTTATAGGAATTTGTCTATATACAAACCGCTATGAGTACCCATAGACTTAGTTCATTCTGAATCAAAGCATTTTTTTTAAGTTACTTTCAGTTTTGGCATGGGTACTCCATAAACACGCTTTTAAGCAACACTTTTGAACCTACTTCTATATAGCAGGAACTTTTGCATTTCATTTTGTTCTTTAATGTATATTTTACACACACACGCACGCACGCGCGCGCGCACACACACACACCCTTTACTGTCCTGGTTCATAACTGACACTACTTACTTGACAGTCCATAACATACATCTACAATTAACAATAATCATCCCCATTATAGTAACTGCAACTGCATACCCACATGCCCATCTTCTTTAACTTTTACAATCATGCAAAACAACCTCCATGCTCTCTACGCTCCCCTCTTCTTTCCATCCCCTTGTATTTCTTTCTCCAGTACTTAATCTGTTGCCTTTTGTTCTCGTCGCTCACCCCCTCTTCGTTGCTATCACCATTTTCTTCCCCATCGTCACTGTTATTGGTGTTTTCTCTCGGGGGGGTCCCATTTTCCTCTTCCATGTGTCTTTCATAATCATCTTTCCATTTCCTTCTGTCATCTTGTAATACAGCTGTAGCTGTGCTACAAGAGGACTCCCATTCTGATGAAGTCCTTAACTGAGAGATTCATGTGCCTGTATACAAGCAGGTTCCTAGTCTTCCTCAGGGCATTTATGAAGAAGGACGTGACCTGGTCAAAGCAGGCTGTCAGGTTCCCTTGCTCCTTGCTTAGGTGTCCAAGCAGCACCACTTCTCTGGTCAGTATCTTGACTCCTGTCACCATTTGGAGGAATTAATTTACTCTCTACCACACTTCCCTGGTGTACAGACAGCTCCAGAGGAGGTGATCAGTTGTTTCCTCCTGCTCTGGTAGGTTTGCCTGGAGCAGCCCAGTGAGTGAGTCTGCCCCTCTATATCTCAGTGCCCACACAGGGAGTAGTATGTTTCATGCCAGTCCAAGTCCCTGTGCTCCTTTTGCAGGTCCTTTTGGAAGATTCATTCCCACATGGCATTCATTCCCTGGCAGCTGTTGCTGGATAGTACGTTTATAGGTGACAATTTATCTTTTGCCCTTACCACCTCCTGCATCTTACAGTCATTTGTTGCGGTCTTTTGGGCCTTGTTGCATAATTTTATGTGTCCCAAAAGTGACCCAGGACTCTGTAGAACCACGGCGGGTCCATGGTCCACAGGCATATGTTGAGTAGTGTGTACATGCAACAGCATCAAAGCAGGTCCCCTACAAAATACTTCATGAAGCAAACTATTTTAGAATCTGCCCTGGCTGCCAAGTCAGAGATCTGGCCCAGAGGACATATGGGCAGGACATATGGCATTCCTTGGCCACCGGTCTGTTTTGTTTTGTACAGTGTGGTCCTTGCAACCTTCTCCCATCTGCAGCCACAGAAGATGCACATGGATCTTTGACTTCTATAGGTGATTTGCTCTGAGTGTGTGTGGGGGAAACTAGTGCAGTGTATATTATAGAAGCACCCAGTAGCACTGGTTTACAGAAGCAACAATGCTCTCATGAGTGCCATGTACACCCCTCCTCCCCCACTGACAGGTGGTACATGTTCCACAGCCCCAATCTCTGTCTAACTTTGGCCTCAGTCCTTTCCCATGGTTTTTGTCTACTTGGCTTTGAGTCAAATTCCACCCCAAAGCTCTGCACCTTATCATGGGGGACACAGACCCCCAGGGCTGACAATTCCCTGATTTCCTTCAGTACTAGGCTGGTGCTCTTGCCCATGGTGGCAGGGGCCAAAATCCACACTCTGTATACCTGGGTATGTTGTAACACTTTTCACTGGTCACAGCACCCTTGTCTCTGCCTTGCTTCCCCTGGAGATCTGCACTCTGCTGATCCCGGGATCTCACCTGAGCTGCTGGGCCAGCAGTTCCAACACACAGATGAACAGGACTGCAGAGAGTGGGCAGTCCTACTGGACACCTGACTTCATCGTGATTGGGGTGGTCAGGAACCCATTCATCATCTGCTCAAACCAGGTACTGCATCCTTATCCAGGTGACAAAGGTTTGTGGGGGACCGCTATCTTTTTCAGTGTCTCGAACAGGAACTGGTGAGACATTCACTTGTAAGCCTTCTTCAGGTCAAAGTTCAACATGGTGATGTTCTGCCCTTTCTCTTGTTGGTACCACAGCATGTCCCACAGCTACAGCAGGGCTCCATGGATCTGTCACCCTGGGCCTGTGAATGACTGGTCCTCATGGATCACCATACTTATAATAGACTTAAAGCCCTCGGCAAAAACTTTTGGCCATTGGTTTATAGTTGAAATTCAGGAGCACTGAGTTTCCGGTTCTTCAACTCTGCCCTCACCCCCTTCTTGGAAAGAAGGGCTATGAGGGCCAGATCCATCCTGGCCTCAAGGTGGCGCTCCTGCAGTCATTTCTTATATACAACCACCAGGTCTGGCCCCAGCTGGCCCCAGAAGGTAATGCAGAACTCCTTCTGCTCCAGAAGTCTTAATGTTCTTGAAGCTCTGGAGACTTTTGGTGATCTCCTCCAATGGCCATTTCAACTTCTGGCTCTCATTTCCCTCCCCTCCTTCCCCCCCAACAAAGGGCCCCAGGTCCTCTGCCCATGCCATGAACAGTTCCTGGTAGAAGGCCACTGTTGTTTCCACCACAGAATCATAGACAATTAGGGTTGGAAGGGGCTCTAGGAGGTCATTTACTCCAAAACCCTGCTCAAAGCAGAGCCATTCCCAACTAGATCATCCCAACCAAGGCTTTGTCTAGCCAGGTCTTAACAACCTCCCAGGATGGAGATTCCCTAACCTCTCTGAGTAGCCTGTTCCAGTGTTTTACTACTCTTCTGCATCCCTTTGTTCAACCAGTGGCTCACTCCTGCTCCATCTATCAAGCTGGACATGGCCTCCCTCTTGGATTCACAGACATTAGGGGCTGGAAGGGACCTTATGAGATCATTGAGTCCAGCCCCCCCTGCCGTGGACAGCAAGTCAGCTGGGATCAAGTGATCCCAGCAAGAAAAATATCCAGATGTTTTTTGAAAGAGTCCAGAGTAGGTGCTTGTACCACATCTGGGGGGAGTCTGTTCCAGACCCTGGACACTTGCACCATAAAGAGAGTTTTTCTTGTATCAAATCTAAATCAGCCTTCCTGGAGTTTTATGGCCGTTGAGACTTTGTCATCCTTTAGGGAGCTCTGGTGAACAGCTCTTCTCCCAGGTCCTGATGAACCCCTCTTATATAACTGTAGGCTGCCACCAAGTCCCCCCTGAGTCGTCTTTTCCAGACTGAAGAGTCCCAGATTCCTCAGTCTCTCCTCATACATCCTGCCTTCTTGGTTTTATTTAACCTGCTAAAGTAGGCAGATCCCTTGCCTCCCCCTCTCCCCTGCAGGGGGTGGGGCCAGGAAGATCTTCCTGGTCTGTTGACTGTACCAGGTCCTGATCCAGGTCTTGACCTCCTACATGGCCTCCCTCGCATCCTATCCCCA